GTCATTTGGGGTCACTCAGGGTCATTTGGGGTCACCCGGGGTCACCCAATCTGTCCCCAGGGTCAGGGGACACAGAGGAGGGGATGTGGCTCTGGCCCCATAGGACGCGCTCCCGCAGCTCCTGGGGACACAGGGAATGTCACCTGGGGTCACTCGGGGTCACTCAGGGTCATTTGGGGGTCATGGGACACGGAGGGGACAGTGAAGGGGACACAGTTCTTGCCCCGCAGGACGCGCTCCCGCAGCTCCTGGGGACATTGGGGACACGGGGAATGTCACCTGGGGTCACTCGGGGTCACCTGGGGTCACTCGGGGTCACCTAAGGTCATTTGGGGTCACCTAAGGTCATTCGGGGTCAGGGGACACAGAGGGGACAGAGGAGGGGACAGAGTTCTTGCCCCGCAGGACGCGCTCCCGCAGCTCCTGGGGACACGGGAATGTCACCTGGGGTCACCTGGGGTCACTCGGGGTCACCTAAGGTCACTCAGGGTCACCTAGGGTCATTTGGGGTCACTCAGGGTCAGGGGACACAGAGGGGACCGCGGAGGGGACACAGTTCTTGCCCCGCAGCACGCGCTCCCGCAGCTCCTGGGGACACAGGGGACACGGGAATGTCACCTGGGGTCACTCGGGGTCATTTGGGGTCACTCAAGGTCATTTGGGGTCACTCAAGGTCACTCAGGGTCAGGGGACACAGAGCGGGACACGCGGTTATTGCCCCGCAGGACGCGCTTCTGCAGCTCCTGGGGACACGGGGAATGTCACCTGGGGTCACCTGGGGTCACTCAGGGTCACCTAAGGTCATTTGGGGTCACTCAAGGTCATTTGGGGTCACTTGGGGTCACCTAAGGTCACTCGGGGTCAGGAGCAGTCAGGGTCAGGGACACAGAGGAGGGGACATGGGCTCTTGACGAGGTAGCAGGAAGTGGCAGGAGGTGACCATGACCACGAGGCTGTGTCCGTTGAAGGGCAGTGACCACTGAGGCAGTGACCATCCAGAGGGTTCAGGATGACCCCAAACTCCAGGGCAGTGACACAGGAGGGTCAAGGACTGACCAGGAGTGACCAGAGGTGATGGGAGGTGTGACCAAAGGTGACCAGAAATGTGATCAGAGATGACCAAAGATAACAGAAAGTGTGACCAGAGAACACCAAAGGTGACCAGAGATGACCAAACGTGTGACCAGAGGTGTGACCAGAAGTACCCAGAGATGACCAAAGGTGTGACCAGAAGTGTGACCAAAGATGACCAGAGAGGACCAAAGGTGTGATCAGCAGTGCCCAGAAGTGTGACCAAAGGTGACCAGAGATGGCCAAAGGTGACCAGAGCTGACCAGAGATGACCAAAGGTGTGACCAGAGGTGATGGAAGGTGTGACCAGAAATGACCAGAAGTTTGACCAGAAGTACCCAGAGATGCCCAAAGGTGACCAGAGCTGACCAGAGGTGTGACCAGAGATAACAAAAAGTGTGACCAGAGATGACCAAAGGTGACCAGAGATGACCAAAGGTGACCAGACCTGACCAGAAGCGTGACCAGCGATGCCCACAGATGTCACCAAAGGTGACCAGAGATGCCCACAGGTGTGACCAGAGATGACCAAAGGTGATCAGAGGTGTGACCAGAGGTGACCAGAGGTGTCACCAAAGGTGTGACCAGAGGTACCCGAGATGCCCAGAGATGTCACCAAAGGTCACCAAAGCTGACCAAAGGTGTGACCAGCGCCGTGGCCGGGCTCACCTTGAGGTTGTGTCCGTCGAAGGGCAGCGAGCCGCTGACCAGCGTGTACAGGATCACCCCCAGGCTCCAGATGTCCACCTCGGGCCCGTCGTATTTCTTGCCCTGGAAGAGCTCGGGGGCGGCGTAGGGGGGGGACCCRCAGAACGTGTCCAGCTTGGAACCCCGCGAGAACTCGTTACTGAACCCAAAATCCGCGATCTTGATGTTGGCGTCGGCGTCCAGGAGCAGGTTCTCGGCCTGGGGACACGGGGACATCAGTGGGGACATCAGTGGGGACATCATTGGGGACATGGGGACAGGGACACGGATATCAGTATGGGGACACTGAGATGGGGACAGGGACATTGGGATGGGGACAGGGACATGGGGACACAGGGACGGGGATCTTGATGTTGGCGTCAGCGTCCAGCAGGAGGTTCTCGGCCTGGGGACACGGGGACATTATTGGGGACATCAGTGGGGACATGGGGACATCAGTGGGGACATCAGGACAGGGATATCAGCATGGGGACATTGGGATGGGGACAGGGACACTGGGATGGGGGCACAGGGACAGGGATCTTGATGTTGGTGTTGGTGTCCAGCAGCAGGTTCTCGGCCTGGGGACACGGGGACATCATTGGGGACATCAGTGGGGACATCAGGACAGGGATATCAGCATGGGGACAGGTACACCGGGATGGGGACATTGGGATGGGGACACAGGGACAGGGATCTTGATGTTGGCGTCACCGTCCAGGAGCAGGTTCTCGGCCTGGGGACATGGGGACATCAGTGGGGACAGAAACATCAGCAAAGGGACACCAGCATGGGGACAAGGACACTGGGATGGGGACACAGGGACGGGGATCTTGATGTTGGTGTCCAGCAGCAGGTTCTTGGCCTGGGGACACGGGGACATCATTGGGGACATGGGGACAGGGACACTAGGATGGGGACACGAGAATGAGAATTGTAATATTGGTGTTGGTGTCCAGCAGGAGGTTCTCGGCCTGGGGATACAGGGACATCGGTGGGGACATCAGCGGGGACATTGGAACATCACTGGGGACATCAGGACAGGGACACAGATATCAGCATGGGGACATTGGGATGGGGACATCAGCATGGGGACAGGGACACGGACATGGGGACACAGGGACGGGGATCTTGATGTTGGCGTCGGCGTCCAGCAGGAGGTTCTCGGCCTGGGGACACGGGGACATCATTGGGGACATCAGTGGGGACATCATTGGGGACATGGGGACATCAGTGGGGACATTAGGACAGGGACACGGACACAGGGACACAGGGACGGGGATCTTGATGTTGGTGTTGGTGTCCAGCAGCAGGTTCTCGGCCTGGGGACATGGGGACATCATTGGGGACATCAGCGGGGACAAAGACATCAGCATAGGGACACCAGCATAGGGACAGGGACACAGGGACGGGGATATCAGCATGGGGACAGGGACATGGACACGGGGACACTGGGATGGGGACACAGGGACACGGACACGGGGACACAGGGACGGGGATCTTGATGTTGGCGTCGGCGTCCAGGAGGAGGTTCTCGGTCTGGGGACATGGGGACATCGTTGGGGACATCCGTGAGGACATCAGGACAGGGACATCAGGACAGGGACAGGAACATGGACATGGGGACAGAGGGATGGGGACAGGGACATTGAGACGAGGACATGGGATCAAGGACAGGGACACAGGGATGGACACGGAGACACTGGGACAGGTGACAGTGGCACTGTGTCACCCTGAGTGTCCCCACCCCGGTGTCACCCTGAGTGTCCCCTCCCTGGTGTCACCGTGTCCCCTCCCCGGTGCCACCCTGAGTGCCCCCTCCCGGTGTCACCGTGTCCCCTCCCCGGTGTCACCATGTCCCACCTTGAGGTCCCTGTGCACGATGTTCTTCTGGTGGCAGTAGTGCACGGCCGACACGATCTGGGGACAGGGGGTGGCACTGTCACTGTGTGTCCTCAGGGTCCCCACACACCTCCAGAACNGGGCTCACCTTGAGGTTGTGTCCGTCGAAGGGCAGCGAGCCGCTGACCAGCGTGTACAGGATCACCCCCAGGCTCCAGATGTCCACCTCGGGCCCGTCGTATTTCTTGCCCTGGAAGAGCTCGGGGGCGGCGTAGGGGGGGGACCCRCAGAACGTGTCCAGCTTGGAACCCCGCGAGAACTCGTTACTGAACCCAAAATCCGCGATCTTGATGTTGGCGTCGGCGTCCAGGAGCAGGTTCTCGGCCTGGGGACACGGGGACATCAGTGGGGACATCAGTGGGGACATCAGTGGGGACATTGGGATGGGGACAGGGACACTGGGACAGGGATCTTGATGTTGGCGTCGGCGTCCAGGAGCAGGTTCTCGGCCTGGGGACACGGGGACATCGGTGGGGACATCGGTGAGGACACCAGCATGGGGACAGGGACAGGGATATCAGCATGGGGACACCAGCATGGGGACAGGGACACAGGGATGGGGACACAGGGACGGGGATCTTGATGTTGGCGTCAGCGTCCAGGAGGAGGTTCTCAGCCTGGGGACACGGGGACATCAGTGGGGACATCAGTGGGGACATCATTGGGGACATCAGCGGGGACAAAGACATCAGCATAGGGACAGGGACACTGGGATGGGGACAGGGACACGGACATGGGGACACTGGGACAGGGATCTTGATGTTGGCGTCGGCGTCCAGCAGGAGGTTCTCAGCCTGGGGACACGGGGACATCGGTGGGGACATCAGGACAGGAATATCAGCATGGGGACACTGGGATGGGGACACAGGGACGGGGATCTTGATGTTGGCGTCAGCGTCCAGGAGCAGGTTCTCGGCCTGGGGACATGGGGACATCATTGGGGACATCAGGACAGGGACAGGGACACTGGGACAGGGACAGGGACATCAGCATGGGGACACTGGGATGGGGACAAGGACACTGGGATGGACACAGGGACGGGGATCTTGATGTTGGGCTGGTGTCCAGCAGGAGGTTGTCGGCCTGGGGACACGGGGACATCGGTGGGGACATCAGGACAAGGATATCAGCATGGGGACGTTGGGATGGGGACATCAGCATGGGGATGGGGACACTGGGACAGGGATCTTGATGTTGGTGTCCAGCAGGAGGTTCTCAGCCTGGGGACCTTGGGACATCAGTGGGGACAGGGACACCAGCAGAGGGACATCAGCATGGGGACAGGGACACAGACAGGGATGGGGACAGGGACATTGAGACGAGGACATGGGATCAAGGACAGGGACACAGGGACGGACACAGAGACACTGGGACAGGGGACAGTGGCACTGTGTCACCCTGTGTGTCCCCTCCCCGGTGCCACCCTGAGTGTCCCCACCCCGGTGTCACCCTGAGTGTCCCCACCCCGGTGCCACCCTGAGTGTCCCCACCCCGGTGCCACCCTGAGTGTCCCCACCCCGGTGCCACCCTGAGTGTCCCCACCCCAGTGCCACCCTGAGTGTCCCCACCCCGGTG